GTTGGTTCGGGTGGGGGCTTAGGGTTCAGGGTTTTGCGAGGGTGTGGATACGGTGCCCATTTGCAAACATGCGGACGTTATAAATACCTAGACAGGATAATGGGTCGGTCAGGGTCGGTGCCTGGTCGCCAAGGTCATTCCAAACAAGCCGACCACCACCCCTACCACCCCTACCACAACCCTCACCACTCCTACACCCCTGCTGGGCCCTACCCTCCCGCGCCAGGGTCTACCTGGTGGAGGTCTAGGGGCGTCAGAGTGTGTGTGGTCTAGAAGAGGTCTAGGGGTACCAGGGTAAGCGCTGGAGGGTCTAGGGGCGGTGCGGGTTTGGTGGTGGTCTGGTCGGGGGGTGGGGGCGTCGGTTATAGGGTTTACAAGGTCGGGGCGTTGTCTGATCGGGTTCAGTGGCTTGCGAAATTAATCGGGGTCATCGGGCTTTATGGTAAAGGCCTTACTGGGGTGTAAGGGCTTTGGGGGTAAAGGGGGTTTATTGTATTTTCTTTTGTCTGTGTGTGTGTGTGTGTGTGTGTTTGTTTCTTTCTTTCTTTCTTTGCGGGGGCTTCAAAAATTTTGCCTGTATGGCTTAGAGGACTTATAGGTTTGTCAGGCTTGAAATTTCGGCTTTTACCTTGAGGCACAGCACCCCCCGGCCAGTGTCTCAGGCCCGCAGGAGTAGCCCAAGAGCTACCGTATTTAAATTTAAACCCTAAACCCTAAACTATTGCCTTAAAAAGGAAAGCTTGTGAACTATTGGGCATATTTCGGGCTGCAAGGCTTGCGTTTACCAAAACTAGGGTTTAGGGTTTAGAGTTTAGTGTTTAGGGCTTAGGGCCATAAAAGCAACCCTTAGCCCGAAACCCAAACAAAGCCCTAAACCCCTGCCCGGATAGTTGGTGGAACTGAGTTCCCCACGTGACAGGGACCTGAGTGGATATGGGAACAGGGTGTAGGGATGTGTAGGGTTTAGGCACCCTATTGTGCTGATTTTGTTGGGCTTACGAACAGTGATGTACGGCTTACTAACCCCCAACCAAAGCCCTATAAACCCTGCATACCCTACGCATGAGATTCCATGGACTCTGCTATTTTTTCGGCGCTACCTTTGAAGACGCCGGAGGGCCAGAGGGCCTCGACGGGGTACCTCAACTTTAAACCAAAATAGTCAGAATCAACACCTGAACCCTAAAGCCTAAAGCCCAAATCCCAAACCTGAAAGCCCCAAACACCTTCAACCAAGCCCAAAACATCCCAAAAACTTTGGCGGCCTCAGTGTTTTTGCAGTTTTTTGGGTGGAAGGGCTTCAAGAGCCCTAAAGACTTGGGGGGGGGGGGGGGGGGGCAGGGTGTGGGAGTGGCAAGCCACGGCAGCTAGCAAGCATTGATGACCAAAAGCATGTATTTCCCTGCGGCTTGATCTTTCACAAACAGCCCTTCCACAAAAGAACTCTTAGCTCAAAAACCTAGCCTAACCTGAAAAAAACACACATTCCGCAAAGGGACCCCCCCAGAAGATCACTATGCCCCCTGCGCACAGAGACCGCTAACTCACAAGCACCGTGCCCCGCGACCTCTACAGGCCTTCAAGGGCTTCCGTGATGTAGGCCTACTTGGTAGCCCAGTAACCATATTTCGATAAGGGCACCCTTTTGTTGGTTACTTTACAAGGGAACCTTGATTTTTTTTAACAATCGTAGGCTTGCGGGTCCAAGGGGTAAGGTTTGTGGAATTAGTGAAGCTCTGCGTTCGGGGTGAAGGAATTTGGTTCAGGGTTTGAGGTTCATGCAGGGAATGGGGGCTAAGGGTTTGGGGTTTAAGGGCCTGAAACAAAAAGACGAGGCGCGTTCCCTTGGGCTGAGTCCTCCTCGGGCGTCGGACACACTCGAGTGATGAGAGTCTGGGGTCTGGAGTCAATCTTTACATATCAGTCCTCCGAAACCCTAAACCCTAAAGCCTAAACCCTAAACCCTATACCCTAAAGTTCTCTGTAGCACTCTGTTCAGTCGTCTACAAGGGAGGGATGGAGAGAGGGAGAGATGGAGTGGAGGGGAGGGGCAGGAAACCCAGAACTATCCCAAAAGGGACAGCAGCTGCATTGATCAATCCCTAAACCCTAAACCCTAAACCCTAAACCCTAAACCCTGCCACATGCAAGGCTTCCGGTCCATCTGGGAAAAACACACGACCCAAGGCTTCCTGGACTCCTTTGTCGCCTCCCCATGAGCAGCTAAATCCAAAACCCTAGGCCCGCTTAAGAACCCGAAAGCCCCAGTGCTTAAACCCTAAACCCTCAACCCCGAAACCCCGAAACCCCTAAACCCCTAAACCCCTAACCCCTAAACCACCAAACCCCTCAACCCCTAAACCCCTAAACCCTAAGCCCCTAAACCCCTAAGCCCCTAAACCCTAAACCCCAACCCCTAAACCCTAAACCCTAAGCCCCTCGAAGCCCTGAACCCTAAACCCGACAACAGGCCGAGCGTCCGAAGTCTCAACAGCCCACAGTTTCCCGGCCGAACGGGTCCAACTGGGAAGGGTTTTGGGTATTTGGTTCAGGGTTCAGGGTTTAGGGCATAGAGCCCCCTAGAACAGGATCTACCTACTTCAACAACCCTAACCCCTAAGCCCTAAATTGCGCAACTGGAATCCTCAGGGTCCATCTACCGATATGGTATATACTATAGGGGCCTGAAGAAGTATGACTACCGGGTTATGAGGGAATACTATTCGTAACTATTCCAACCCCTTATATACCTGGGCCCTAAAGCTACACTGTAGAGGCTCAAGGGCTCCTACAGTGTAGGGTTTAGGGTTTAGAGTTTAGGGTTTATACGGTGCCGGTTTTGAAACACCCGGACATGTAAACAGACAAACAGGTATTTCATACGACCTCCGTAGAGTGCGGCGTCAGGCCGCCCAGCATTTTAAACATCCGGAAACCCCTCCACCCTTCTTGGGGTTGGCCGCCCTCCACTTATTTAAAAATCGTCACCGTAGGGTTTAGGGTTTAGGGTTTAGGGTTTAGGGTTTAGGGTTTAGGGTTTAGGGTTTAGGGTTTAGGGTTTAGGGTTTAGGGTTTAGGGTTTAGGGTTTAGGGTTTAAGGCAACCTAAGGCCGAGTTTTACAGCCTTTACACCCTTAATCCTGAACCCCCTGTTCATATAGAGCTGATTCTACACCCGGGGCACCCACGAACCTCACCAAACCGGAGAAGTCTCACACAAAATCCTGCAGCTGAACAATCATCGCCTTCCTGTTTTGAAGAGTCGGTCCAAAGGTTCTGGAGTCAACTCCAAAAGCGTTCATGCATTTGCATCAGAATCAGCTTGTAAGCGGCTTTGGGTTTAGGGTTGCATTCTCATTGTCAGAATCCAACTCAACCCTAAACCCTAAACCCTGAACCCTGAACCCTAAACCCTAAACCCTTCGAAAAACGCCGTCGACGGCACAGAGCAGTCCTAGAGAAGATCGGCCTCGACGGGTGTGCAACGGGTATAGGGTTTAGGGTTTGGGTTTAGGGTTTAGGGTTTGGGGTTTGGGGTTTAGGGTTTAGGGTTTGGGGTTTAGGGTCCAGCTCGAGATTTCCAACAAATGTTGCCCAAAAGTCCTTCAATCCTCCGCGCCCTGCACGCTGAAACCATGTAAGTAAGTCCAGGCGAGGAACACATCATGAGGAACGAGCCCAAGGGGCACAAAGCGAAGATGATGGATGCAGTCCTCGGCGTGCGCATCTGTTCTAATTCCAGGTGCTCTTCACTGAGTCGGGTGGTCTGGTGCAAAGTTCGAAGGTTTAGGGTTATTGTAGTTCGAGGGAAGCATATATATATATACATATTTATGTAGGAAACGCTAGGAAGAGAGGTAAGGGGCAGATGCAGAGGTGGAACATGTGAAAGAACGAAACCCTTCTTCCCCCAGGATGATGTACCCCCTGCGAAACGTTTTGCGCCTTTAAAACAAAACTTGGCAGCCCAGCAACCATATCAGAATAAGGTGTTTGGCTCTTTGTTTTTGTTTTATTGGGGTTGGTTACTTTATAAGGGAACCTTGAACCAACCAAAAAAGGTAAAGGGTAGCACTGGGCTACCACGTTGCAGCTTCAAGACAAAAAGTCCTGCGACGTCTTCCGAGAAACAGCACTGGGCAAGCTAAACTTTTAACCCTAAACCCGAAACCCGCCATAAGCCCGAAACCCTAGCCCCGAGGCTCTTGTGTAGTACCTTTCTGGGTAGTACTGTATACTTTTTTACCCACCTTCGTTGTAAGCCTCGCGAGCCTCCGAACGATATCAATGATCTCGGTGAGAGAGAGAGAGAGAGAAACACATTAACGCCGTCATGCAAGGGGATCCGTGTCATCCGTGAGTAAGTATACTAAAATCACCTTTAACCCAAAAAGGAACTACATGAGAGCCTGCAGGTCACCCTAAACCCTAAACCCTAAACCCAAGACCCAAAACCCAAAACCCTAACCCCCTGAAGCCAAAGGTTCGTGACTGCGAAGCACATCGCCCCAAGCTTGGCAAAAACAGTGAGAGTGCAGAAGACCAAGAAGAAGGACGATCCTGCCACTACAGGTTTAGGGTTTAGGGTTTAGGGTTTAGGGTTTGGGGTTTAGGGTTTAGGGCTTCTAGGGTTTGGGCATACTAGCAAAGCTTTCTGAAGGGAAGCTCAGATTACCTTTGGGTCTTGAAAGGATTTACCTTTGGGCGTTGAGAGGATTAGTGCAGCCCTAAACGGGGAAAGCGCGACAGGTGCCAAAGAGTCCACAACCAGCCCCTGAGACGATGTAGGGTTTCGGGTTTAAGGGGTACATGAGATTTAGGCTTCGGCGAACCGTCATCCGTCCCAAAGCCAGCAGTCGTCAAAAGCCAAGACACTAAACCCTCCTCCTGGAAGTCTAACTTTCTTGCATTTTACGGTTTGGCTGGCAAAGGGGGTTTTGAACTTGCGGAACAGGTTCGGAATCAGTCAGTCGCTTACGCGAAACATGAACCCTAAACCCTCACAGGCGCAACTGCATGTGAGTTCTAGGTTGCCTGGAACGAGATGCTCTAAATATTAAGGTGTATGAACCGCAAACCCTTTTAGGGCTCATTTAGTCCCCAGTCACACACCACTGCAGCCTAGGAAAGTTTGCACATGGAAGAGCATCGACCATGAAGAAAAGCAGTCCTACATCAACCAAAGGACGAGAGAACATGGTAGCACAGGGTTGGTTTAGGGTTTAGGAGTTTAGGGTTGAGGGTTGAGGATGTATGGGGCTTCCACCCCTCCCTATCAGAAGCCCTTTGGATACCTCAACCGCCATAGTCTTTCGAGTTAACCACAGAACGAAACTATCAAGGTTCAATACAAACTAACAACCGAGAAGCCTGCATAAACCGTTAGATAGCACAAGGGGCACCTCGTAGTGCTGGGCCACGCAGGGAGCGAAAGGGTTTAGGGTTTAGGGTTTCGGGTTTAGGGTTTAGGGTTGAGGCTGCACAATGGTCAGATCGTGTCCTGCTGTGGTAATGGCGCTGCCAGTTGTGGCGCTGCCCATGGTTTTCCTCAGCAACCCAAGCAGGGTTCAGGGTTTAGGGTTTAGGATTTAGGGTTTAGGGTAAGCACGTACGCCTTTCAACGCTGTCTCCAGTACTGCTCTTGTAACCTCTCAACAGCCTGAACAGCAAGAACGCTGCTTGTGCGACTGTTTGGGGGGAATGGATGGGCATAAGTGAGGAAGTGCTAACAATCATTTCCGCAGCTGCCTTGTCGGGTTGCATGCCTTTCGGGCTGAACAGGAATAACGGTCCATCGGAAATGGGAAATGCTTCTTAATACAGACCGGGGATAAACTTAAACCCTAAACCCTATACCCTACGTAAGCCCTAAACCCTAACCCCAAACCCTAAACTCTAAACCCTAAACCCTAAACCCTATCCCCCCCCCTTCAGTAGGGTTGTAAGGGTTTCGGGGTTGAGGGCTGGGCGAACTGACCTAAGTGAGGGCACTGAGGGCTTCGCTGCAGGACTCCGGAGCACCAGAAGCCAGGGTTTAGGGTTTAGGGTTTAGGGTTTAGGGCTATGAACAAAAACCCAATGTCTGAACTCCTAACCCGTGACCCCCTGACCTCTTCAACCCTAATTAAACCCAAAACACACCCATCCTTAAAGGTCCATGTGCCTGAATAGGGCGTACTTGAGCCTTAAAGTACTCATTGTTCGGTGACTCTGGGGCCCAAGTACTAGGGTATGTGGTCATTGCCTACAAACTCGAAACCCTAAACCCCATTTTTGAGAACTTCCCCGTGTGGACATTTAGGGAATCCTACCCTAAACCCTAAACTAAACCCTAAACCCTAAACCCTAAACCCTAAGCCCTAAACCCTAAACCCTAAACCCTAAACCCTAAACCCTAAACCCTAAACCCTCAACCCTCCCTGATTTGTTTAAGGAATCCTGAGGCGAGGCGCAGAGCGAAGCGTGTTCGCTGCAGCCGCTGGGAGGCGTTTTCGGAGCTTACACCTTCAATTGGTTTAGGGGCTTAGGGTTTAGGGTTTGGGGTTTGAGGTTTAGGGTTTAGGGTTTGCGTGGGGTTTGGGGTTTGGGGTTTTGGGGTTTGGGGGTTTTGGGGTTTTGGGGTTTTGGGGTTTTGGGGTTCTGGGGTTTTGGGGTTTTGGGGCTTTGGGGTTTTGGGGTTTTGGGGTTTTGGGGTTTTGGGGTTTTGGGGGCGCTAGACCGGCTGCACTAGCATTATCAGGTCCGGATTGGGTTTGAAGGCTTCGGGCTTATGAGATTGCAATTTCTGGTGGCATTCACTCCTAGTCCTCTGCGCCTTCCTTGAAACCCTAGAAGCAGCCCTCAACCCTGAACCACCCCGAAACCCTGACCCCCACGCCCTGAACCGTCCTAAACCCACGAACCCCAATACCCCAAAAACCAACACCGAGCAAGTACCCTGTAAGGGTTCGGAGTTGAGGGTTTAGGGATCAGGCATAGGAGGCGCAGCATTGTGGTTTCTTTTGCGTTGGAACCAGAAACGTAGCGTGCTTCTTGACAAACAGCTGAATGGCTTGAGATTTCGGGCTTCAGATGTCAAGGCGCTTTAGAAGTTTGGGGAATTGAGGCTTCAGAGGTCTACGCTCGTCGGGGTTTAGGGAGTTGAGGCAGAAGGCTTTAGAGCTTGAGGGGATCGGTATGTATGTGAGGCTTAATGGAGTAGAATGTGCGGCTTAGGCTCAAGAGCTTGAAGGAGTTTCGGCTTTTGGGGGTTTTGCGGGCTGTGCCCTACACCCAAAACCCTGAACCCTAAAAACCCTAAACCCAAAAACGCTTTGGGCTGTCTCGGATTGCGTGTTCAGGGCATCGCAGCCTCAACCCTTCAAGGGGTGGGGTTTAGGGCTGATGAAGATAGCAATAGCAACCCTTTCACGTGGGTTTAGGCCTTAGCGTTGATACTATGACTACCCCTTCTAGAGGTGCAAATCTCCTTGGTGCCATAGCGATATAGCCACCTATATGTTTGAGATGCAAGCTCGCTCTACCCCCTCCCCCCCCCCCCCCCCCCCCCCAAAAAAAAAAAAAGGAGAGAGAGAGAGAGAGCCTAACCTTCCAACAAAAATCGCTGATGTAGCCGCCTAGCGAGTCTTGGTCATCGTCGTCCAGGGCTTCGTGGCTGCCGTACTTGTACACCTCAGGGCTTTGAGTGGATAGGGGCCCTCCCTGAAGGATCTCGGGCACACCAAGAAGAGGCTTTCGAGCCCCTCAGGGTCCATGTAGCGCATAAGGGTATACCCTTAAGGAACTTCCTCTTTTTCAAATGAGAAGCCATACGCCGGCAACTGACCGATTAGGATGATGGGCCCAGGCAAGCTTGCTACCTGCATCTCTAGCTAGACCCCGGACAACCGCCTAAAATGCTAAACCCTGTAACGTACAAACCCTCTCAACCGAAACACTCTATGAAAATGTAACACTAAACCCTAAACCCTAAACAATAAACCATGTATCCAGCTCCGGAGGGCATGCATTCAACAAAGACAGAGACTGGGGGTGGAGAGCTTGGAGGGTTCAGGGCATAGGGCCTTAGGCCTTAGGGTTTAGGGTTTAGGGTTTAGGGTTTAGGGTTTAGGGTTTAGGGTTTAGGGTTTAGGGCAAAAGCTCTGACCAAGGGGCAATGTGCAAGCTGTAGTCGACGGCATAACCTGTGCGTGAGCACAGGTTACTCGACGGCTTATGGGTAGCCGTAGGTCACTAGGGTTTACAGTGTAACTTGGGTAACGGTAGGTAGGGTCATCATAAGGGAACCAGATGAGACCATAACCATGTAAACCCTAAACCCTAAACCCTAAATCCAAAACCCAAAACCCATAGCCCGAGTTGCATGCCAAGAGCTCGCACGCGAAGTGTCCCGAAACAGGCCCAACACTAAACCTAAGCCCTGAAGCCGCCAGCCTAAACCCTCAACCCTAAACCCTAAACCCTAACCCTAAACCCTAAACCCCGAACACGTCAGGTGCCTATGAAGTAGATGAAGGCAATGACCTCGATGAGGCCCACCTCCCACTCCATCACCTCAGGTGGCTTTGGGTTTAGGGTTTAGGGTTTAGGGTTTAGGGTTTAGGGTTTAGGGTTTCGGGTTTCGGGTTTAGCGTTTAGGGTTTGAGGTCCGGGGTTGGTTTGGGTACTGGAATCCCCCCAAAACCATCACCAACAGGTTCAGGTTTTGTTGGGCTTACGGCTTTGCGGAAATTGACCTTAACCCGAAAACCTACTGTTTGGGGTGTACGGGCAAAGAGACTGCCACACGGAACACAAAGGATTCACCTCCAGTCCCAATTCCCAATTTAGACCCTTCCCGATCCGGGGAGTTCTAAACTTAGCTGTTTGTAGAACCTCTGTAGAGATGCTAAATTTGCATGAGATACAATGTAAAACCGAATCCGCACGACCTGCAGCAATCAGACGCCCCAAACCCAAAACCATAGATCACACCTCTGCAGAGATTCCAAATTTCATGGTCCTTTGTAAGACCGAAACCCTGAAGCCTGTAAAACATATACACACCCTGTATAAGCCCAATAAACCCTACATGAACCCACTCGCCCAAAAACAGCCATGATGCTGGCGAGCGGTTGTGGGGGTTGATGCTTGGGTTTTTCCCCACCCTCGGTGTGGGGTTGTTAGATTTAAACTTCTACTCGCCCGGAACTCTTCTCCTCGCCCGGTCTACTCCCCGCTCATCCCTGGAGTGCCCAACCCCTCAACTGCCCAACCCCAGGAGACCCCTGGAGTGCCCAGCCCCAGAGTCTTTCTGGAGTGCCTACTTAATCTCAGAGTCCTGGAGTGCCCAACCCCAGAGTGTCCCCGAAGTGCCCAGCCCCCGAGTCTCCCTGGAGTGCCCACTCTACCAAGAGAGGGTGGGGATGCTCGAAGTAAAATAATTCGCTTTTTCGGGTTCTGTGGGCTGAGAGTCTCAGTAGTTGAAGAAGTAGGGCTCGGGGTGTAATTACAGCGGCAGAACTCTGTTCCATCCGGTGGCAGTCGTGATGAAGAATGCCAGGATGATGATGACGATGATCGTTGAGAACACGACGATCCTGAGGTGCAGGAAGTCCAATCCCTAAACCCATGCAAAGAGACTTCAGGTTAGAAGGTTCAGGATTGTACCCCAGTAATTCTCGACCGAAAGCACCCCGCAAGTCCAGTGAACCCTTCTGCCTCCAAGACAGTGAGCAAACCACGCGTTTAGGGTTCAGGGGTTAGGGCTTAGGGTGCTGCCCGAGTCTCAAGAAGCTTGCAGGATCGAGGTCTTGCATGGGGCTTTGGGGGGGACTTAGGGTTTATAAGGGCTTAGGGTTTAGGGCTTAGGGTTAGGACTTAGGACTTAGGATTTGGGCGGGCGCAGCACGGGAGTTGATTGTCAAACGCTCAGTGGCACTGGAACACCTGAATTCCAAGGGCCCTGAACCCTACACCCTAAACACTAAACCCTAAACCCTGAACCCTACATGCCCTGAGCCATCTACCCAAGAGTCAGCGACAATACGCAGCTGCGTGTGAAGAGGAGCATGCACACCTGCTCACACTGGATGCCCATGCAACGATTCGGGTCTAGCCTTCCCCGTACATCTGTAAGGTTCAAACGAATATGACATATGCCGATGTACAACTCATACATACATACATACATACATACATACATACATACATACATACATACATACATACATACATACATACATACATACATACATACATACATACATACCTGCACACATACATACGTACAAACTTATCTAGATTTATATAAAGTTGTATGCATATATATATATATATAGAAAGATTTATGTATGTACTCATATATACGCACAAGCACACACCTGCACACTCCGCGTGGCTCATGTGCCAACCGAGCGCAACCCAAACTAAGGACTGAAGGTTGGGCGCAAAGCAAAGAGACCAACTCAATCTGTCTTGGGTTAAGTATCAGGTTTGGGTATGAGGGTTCAGGTTTATGCTTTTAGACCTCAGGGAATAGCGTTTAGAGTTCAGGGACTATGGTTAAGGGTTCGGGGCCCATGGATCAGGGTTCAGGGACTGGGGTTCACGGCTTCTGGATTGGGGTTTAGGGAGTGGTGCTTGGGTTTTTGGGCTTTGTTAGGTTTAGGGTTCAGGGTCTAGTGATTCGTGCTTCGGGTGCAGGGCCTATGCACTGAAGTTAAGTGGCGTTTCGGGTTGGGGATTGCCGCTTCGGGTTCAAGGCTTAGGGGCTGGGGTTCAGGGCTTTGGGCCCAAGGATGAAATCAGGGCTTAGGGGTTCGGATTCTTGTTGGGCTTTAGGGCCCGAGGGCGTTATGGGGATCAGGTTTCAGGGCTTCTGGATTAGGGTCTTTGGGTTGGGGGTTACAGTTGAGGGATTTGAGTCCAGGGCTTAGAACGTTGTGATGAGGGTTTAAGGGCAGGGTTTTGATCTAGGGACTAACGAAGGGTTTAATTGTGGTTTAGGAATTGTTCTCATGGTATCTCATGGTTCAGGGATTGCGGAGTATGGTTTGTTGCCCAAGTTTAAGGGTTGGGGACTCTGTTTTGGGGATGTGGTGCTTCGAGCTAAGGACTAGGGATTCTTGCGTGGCCATGAGACCAGAGCCAGCGCACACAGCACGATCAGGCTGTTTGCAGTGCTGCTGATTAGCCTCAGCTGAGCAGCAACTCCAGAAGAAGCCTGAATCAGAAGCCTCTAACCCCTAAACGCAGAAGCCATGAATCTAGCAGCACGCCCCACGCACCAACACCAAAACTTTAAACCCCAAGTGGCGGGTTGATCAAAATGCCGGCCCCTTGCGGGCACTGTAGCATCTAAGAGCACCCGATTTTATAAGTTGTAGCCCTGGGCCTGATACCCCAAACCCTAAAGCCTCGAAGCCCTAAGCACGTAGCGTACCAAAGTCACTATACAGTACGTGCTTCATAGCCTTAGTTGTCCAGTAACCTATTCAAGGTTAACCTTTGGGATTAGAAGGGGATTACACTACCCTAAAAAGGTTAAAGGCTACCTACTCTACTACTAAGTAGCCCAAGTCTACCCGCGGGTCAGATCGCCTGTTCCAGAGCAAGGCGCATGCTGGCAGATTCAACATGCACCCAATCACTCGACACCTGAGGGAGGTATTTGTGGCATTTGAGGGCTTGGGAATTAGGGCTTAGCCTAAAGGGCAGGCGGTATACTTACCGGGTATGAAAAAAGACTGCCGGAACTGTAACTGGTCCAAAGTATGTAATGTGTACAGGGTTCTGCTAAGCCCTAAACCTCTGAGACTCCGAAATAGGTCAGAGGCTGTTCTCCCTTGGGCCCATGACCAACAACTAGATGCTGTCTTGCTCCAGCGGGTTATACAAAACTTCTACCCTAAACCCTAAACCCTAAACCCTAAACCCTAAACCCTAAACCCTATACCACTTTCCAAGGTGGAGGGCCCCTGTTTAGGGGCTTGAGTTCAGGATCAGGAAGCACGCCGGCATGGGAACCCATCGTGGTTAGAATCCAGGGTTTGAGCCAGGTTCCTGTATGTCAGCCATCGAGGATGCACCCTGAACCCGAAACCCCAAACCCCAAATCGCCGAACCCTAAACCCTACCTGGCTTCAAGACACAAGCTATGTTGTAATTCAGACTTACAATGCTACCTAATACTAACCCATGTTAAACCGGGTTGGAGGGTTTAGTTCGGGCTGGTAGTGCGACTTCGGTATGGGAAGCTCACTCCTGGGTAGCTTTCTCGAGAAGCCCTGAGTACAGTGTGGGCCCCGGTGCCTGAACCCTCAACCTGAAACATTCCAAACCCTAACCGCTAACCCCTAAACCCCTACAGCCTGAAGCCCTCTAACCCCTAAGCCCCTAAGAACCTAAGCTGAAGCTAAACCCTAAACCCTAAACCCAAAATACCCTAAACCCAAAATACCCTAAACCCTAAACCCTAAACCCTAAACCCTAAGCCCCTAAACCCTGAACCCAAACACCCCACCCCCACCCACCGAGAGCCTGAAACGCGGGCGAAGCCGAAGCGGGGCTTTGCACATTCCACTGGAGGACGTAGGATTCCCAAGCCGCTTTGTAGGCCAGGATCTGAGGGAGCTCCGGGTTTCAGGGTTGGGTTTAGGGTTTAGGGTTTAGGGTTTAGGGTTTAGGGTTTAGGGTTTAGGGTTTAGGGTTTAGGGTTTAGGGTTTAGGGTTTAGGGTTTAGGGTTTAGGGTTTAGGGTTTCTGGTTTCTGGTTTTGGTTTTTCGGTCTTGGTTTCTCGGTTTAGGGTTTTCGATTTGGGGTTCCCAGCAGCTAACAGTGTTTAATAAGGGTGATATAATGCCGGAACTGACATGTTCATACAATG